TACACAGAGAAACCCTGTCTCGAAAAACCAAAATAAATAAATAAATAAATAAATAAATAAATAAATAAATAAATAAATAAAATAAAATAAAATAAAATAAAACCTTACTTCTCAAGTATTTGTTATATGTGAGATTAGTCCAACTTTTGTATGCATCAATCGGCCATTCTGTAGATGAAATTCTAAAGTCTTAGTAAATAAGAAACACAGAGCCAAATACAGAGGAAATAGCCAAAGATATCAGAGCAATAGCCACGACTAACTTTAGCTTACTACCAGAAGTAGCTTCCCCAGAGAGAGTTTCTAATGTCTGACTTGTCTTTTTATTGTCTTTCTGTTCTGCCTTCTCATTGGCTCTAAACCCAACCACATGATTTCCTCATCACTGCCTGTCTATACAGACCTCCAGGTCTCTATGTTTGGTACTGGGATTAAAGGTTTGTGTCACCACACTTGGCTGTGTCCTTGACCACACAGAGACTATCTGACTTATGATCGGATTAAGGGTGTGTGCCACCACCACCTGACTCTGCTTATGGCTGGCTATGACCTCTGATCTCCAGGCAAACTCTATTCATTAACATACAAATAAAATCACATTTCAGTACAAATAAAATATCACCATACCATTCCTATTTGATGTTTATTAATCTGCAGTCTGAAGACATGATGCCATATGAAATTGAGTAATTTCCAGTTGGGAGTCATTCTGAAGAAGACTGCCAAAATATTTCAGTGTGTTCTTTTGTGGAAAAAAAATGTATTCATGTCATTTGACCATCACTCAGAAGTGAAATTGCTAAGCAACTGGGGATTACTTTCTAAGGTTTACAAGATCATATGAAAGAATCTGTTCCCTTTTTACCTCTGGCAGAAATGTATAAGAACTGTATTTGTTCTCTTCATTCTTTAGATGGTGTCCTGTTACTACTGGTCGAACAATTATCTGATAGGGTGTAGTAAGCAATAAAAAAAGTCTTCAGGCCAGTTTCATCTTTATCACCTTTGAGTATAATGGAGAGAGCTGGCGGCCACATGAGCAGCTATCCCTTCTGTCATGTTAAATGCCAGTGGCACTGGCTGTGGGAGGTACTGGGACAGGTGTCCACAAACAGATGAGTGTTTGTTCTCAGAATGTCCACAGTCACAAGAGCACAGGCATTCCACACAGAAAAAGGTCTTTCCAGGAAGACATTAAGCAGAGTTCCAACTGTTTTATTTTTAAATCACTTTGAGATGTTTTTTAGATGGCAGAAAGCAGAAAGGAAAACAATATGTTGACTGATAAAATCACAAACGTTTGTTAAAGTGAGAGAAAGGGACATTTATTAAGGATAAATGGAAAGTTCTAAAATTGGGCTTATAAAATCAGCCTCAAGGAATGAAGAAGGGGGACACTAATTTCATTTCCTTTACAAAAGGGAAGCACAGGTTTTGGATTCTAGACTTCCTCTAGATAAATTTGTGGTAGGGGCACCAGAATGGCTGCATGGAAAGAAAGATTGAGTCACACAGAAAGTAAAGAGTCCATTTTTCAATTTATCTTCTAGAAAACATGCTACCTGGATAGCTCTTCCCAGCCACATAAAGAAGGGATTGAAAAATTGAAACATAGAGGCTGGAGAGATGACTCAGCAGTTAGCAGTGTGTAACTCTCCTACAGAAGATCTGAGCTCAGTCTCCAGCACCCTCAGCTCAGCACCACCTGTAACTCCAGCTCCAGGGGATCTAATGCCCTCTGCTGGCCTCTCCAGGCCCTCACACTCATGCATATACACTTACACACACACACACACACACACACACACACACACACACACACACACACACACAGTTGAAAAGTAATAAAAATAAAATCTTGAAAACCCAAAACATGTACAAGGGAATTAAGTGAATATACTTTGGGGAAGTATATGCTCAGAAAAGCAAAAAGTACAGAAAGCGTTTTTGTTGTTTCAGCTACACACAGTATGATTGATTAATGA